CACCCAGTCACATGGCCGGCAAGCCACTCCCACCTGGTCACATGGCCAGCAAGCCACTCCCACAAAGCAGGCCACACCTACAAAAGAGGTTCTAAAAAAATTTGAAACCCACCACTGGTACATACACACCTCAGTTAGTGCATTGACACTGCACTCAGGTATCTTGTGTGTTCTGGGTTGTGAGTGAGATAAGGAGTTTGCATATGAATACCTACACAAATATGATTTCTAATAGGGTGTTCCTCTAAGCATGTGGACATTGGAAATGCGGTTTGAGTGTGCATAGTTCTTGGAGCAGGAGTTCTTCTCTCCACTCATACAGAATATACATGGAAGATGAAGACATCATCAGAACCTACGGTGCAGATTAAAGGAATCACCAGAAATCAAAATAGTTGACCAGTCTATCTAATTGTAGATAACAAGGTCCAAAGGGCTAGGAATATGACCAGGTCCCCAAATGGCAGGAGGCAAACTTTTAAGCCTAGCTTGCAAAAAGGTTATTATTATTATTATTTTTGAAAAAGCACAAAAAGTATGTTGGGAATTCTACAAGAATTAGGTGCTCTTGTGTTTAATCTTTAAGAAGGAGGAGGAAGACTTTGTGTGATAGGAGTCTGTCTACTTCTCTCATGTATTTTTATGATTTAAAATTACAAGCTTTAATGATTGACTTTTGTTAGTTTCCCGGTAGAAAGCTGATTTGGTTTTTTTAAATGCATTTTTGATGAATTCATTGCCAATTTTCTCATTCACCTGGAGGAGCTCATGGCAAGTGAAGTTCCTGCTGTAATTTCCTCCCAGGGGACAGGATCTTTCTTTGCTTTGATGTTAAATCACAAGCCAAGGCCAATCCGTGGGGCTAGAGAATGATTGCCTGGTGGCATGGGGTACATTTCTTAGAAGTAGATGAGATACTCCTAGATTTTTTTAAAAAACCAAACCCAATAGTTACCAAACTATAAACCCAACTTCCTCAGTTCAAAATTCACCACTATTTCACAAAAAAGTGGCTGATACTCCACACGATGATATTGCTCATAATGATATGATATCCTCACAATGAAATCATAAAGGCATAATCATAATTAAATATACTTAAACATAAAAAAATATATTCAGCGGAGATACCGGTAGCTACTGTATGATAATAAAAAGGCTGAAAATCAAGTGTCAGTTTTTAGCATTTTAAAAATGCTTATTCTGTGGTGATCTGTCCCCTATACAGTAAAAACAGACTCTTACTTTTTATAAGTCAAGAACCATCACCATTTGATGTAGTTTTTCTGATAGCCGTGTGAAATACATTTGCTGTAAACATTGCTGTTTAAAGAAAAGTAAATCCATTCTCCATTTTTAATGTTTGGATATTCAAGGTTTCATGGGAATCAGAATAGCGTGTTAAAAATATATTGTATTTCTTATGCAATCAGATGAGTGTCTTGGGAAATTCCAGTTGGCAGTATGATATTGTGAGGAACCAATGTTATTTTCATCAGTTTGGAAAAGAACAGCCAGATTTAAATTTTCGTAATCCTAATGTTCAGGAAGAAATGCATGTAAGTATCAATAGTATTTCTTTGTTAAGATTTTTAGATGGCTTCCCATCAAACAATACAACTTGGAAGAGTGGGGAGGAAGGCAGCTGAAGATCATTCCAAAGCTTTGGTCTTCTTTCCTCAATAGGTTCTTACCACTAACTGCTTAAGAAGCAGCTTGGTGCTTTCTGAATTAGAATCTTTGCTTGTAGATGTTTCATTATCTGACTAGGTAACATTACTGGTGCAAGTTATTGGGTATAATATAACATCTGCAAGCAAACAAACAAGCTTTGCGAGCACCAAGAACTCCATAAAGTAAGATGGATCAAAAAAGTTCTACAAAGGATCTTCTTTGACAAGAATCTAAGGTCTCAAGCAAGACCCAAAGGATCTGCAGCCTAGTTCTAGCCATTCAAGAACATTAAAAGTCGAACGAGGAGAATGTTTGATAGCTTTTAGAAATTTTAATTGGATGTTCTCAAATCTAGAGATGTCTTAATGCACAAGCACAAGTGAGCATACCATATAGGATCAACTCAGATCTTTAGCTTTTTAGCTGCTTCAGTCCACTTGCTGCTAGGATGTAGTTACTGCTGTTTGCTATGTATATTTGGTAATCTCAAGGGATGCTTCTTGAGCTCTTGTGTTAAGCTCATTTGTCTAATGAACACAGTAGTAGAAGATTGAAAATGAACACCTAGATGCTTAAAGGATTTAACAGGCTCAGTAAGTCTCTCATTAACTGAAGATTTAAAGCAGTTTTTTTGAGAATACTACAAAATTTGCTATAGACAAATTTTAAATTGTTCTCTAGAGAGCAATAACGTGATAAAGCTTTATAAGATTGTTTAACACCCTTTTAGGTGGGTTGGGGGGGGGTCAGTTAAATTGCCATCAAGATTGTCCTTTATTTAAAAGGTGGTTGTGCCATGTTGGAGATCTATTATCAGTTTAGTCATGACTGACTCAAAGGATGGTGCTCATCTCTGATTCTCAGCTGAGGGACCCTGCATTGCCTGAGAGACATTTCTGTCCTCATGTGGCTAACATGAAAATACAGAACACCACAACCTTCCCACTGAAGTGGTACCTATTTATCTACTCACATTTGCATGTTTTTGAACCTGCTAGGTTGGCAGAGCTGGGGCGAGTAACGGGAGCTCACCCTGTTATGCAGCGCTCAGGTCTGGAACCTGGGTTGTCAGCTTTCCAGCCGACAAGCTCAGCGTCTTTAACCGCTGAGCCATCTTGTTCCCTAGCAGTTTAAGGGAACAATAATCTATCAACTTGGCAGTTAGTTTCTTCCAGAGCCTTCCATGTAGTATGGAATCAAAGGCCAGCCTAAAATCAATGAAAGCAACATAAAGGGGACCTTTTGATAGACTGAAGTATTTCTCTGCTGGAAATTGTTAAATTATAAATTGGTCCATCGTTGAATGTTCAGTGATAAATCTAACCTGCTCAGGGACCAAGATGTTCTCTGCAGGCAATTCAATAGCTTCATAGCCGCATGAGTCTGCAAAAAGAAATGATTGCTTTCAGGGTGGGACAGCATGCCTCTACACACAAGTGTAGAGGAACAATGATGAGAGGCAGGTATGTCTTTACCAACTGCTTTCAATCAGCTCTGAAGCATCTGGTTGGTCATTGTGAAGTGGGGGGGAATGCTGTGCTATGATGGGCCCAGGTCCAATTCAGCAAGGCTGTTGATTCAAACAGAGGTATTATCTATGGGGTCTCTCTATTACAAATCATCTGTTTTGATGCTAATTTTCCAAAAACAGAAACTTCTTCCCTGCAACCTAAAGTTGGGTACTGTAGGAAAGCTAGTTTCACATATACTTTTCTGGTAGAATAGAGTTTAAAATCAGAAAGGACCAATGAGTGAAATAAAAGCCATTTTGTCATGGGGCTTAAAGGCAATTTGGAGACTGGGAGTTCCAGTCCTGGGTTAGACATGAAGCCAGCTGGGTGACTCTAGGCCAATCACTTTCTCTAATCCTAAGGAAAAAGGCATTTTCAAACCATGTTTGAAAATTTTGTCATGAAAACTGCACAAGCTTGTCCAGGAGGTTGCCAAGAGTCAGCACTGGCTCAAAATGCAGACAAAAAAGGCTGTGAAATAGATGTTTTTAAACCTCCACTCAGCACAGTAGCCAATGCAGAATGTTGGACAAAATGTGCCAAGCAGCACTGAGGTTTGTTCCTGAATCTAAGAAAAGAACGAGAACACAAATGAAAGAAAGCTAAAAATTGCAACATTGGATGTTTAGAACAGAATGAGAAATGTTCTTGTTGTAAGCATGACAATGTGCAACGAAGCAAACCCACTCATTCTTCTTTTGCTTTTTATTTAGGATATTATTCAGTTTTGGCTTGGCAAAGGAGTCGATGGATTTAGCATCAGTTCTCTTAAATTCCTCTTAGAAGCAACACATCTGAGAGATGAGCCACAAGTGAATAAAAGTCTCCCGCCGGTAACAGTTTTTCAGCTTTGTCCTTCCATAAGGAACAAATGCTTATTGCATTTGCTGGGTGCTATATAATTCTTTATCGGTTGCTAGGCTTCTGTCAATGTAATACAGTGACTTGCAATATATTAAGAGTAACTGGAGTGTGTTTGGGGGACAATTGTGCAAATCATAAACTAGAGGCTGGTAAATTTCTATGGGGGTTCTCTGTCATCCAAGTCATGATTGTCTCAAAGGTGGTTTTTTCAAAAGCCAACTGGACTTCCTTAGTTTTTCCTTGGAGATGTTTCGTTTCTCATTCACAAAGCTTCATCCATTCTGTTAGAGGCTGGTGGAAGATTTGTGATGACAGGAACGTAGATTTATTGCCTCTGAGTTAGTTATTTTTTAATCTTTTGTAGATATACATCTCTTGCACAATATAGAAGATATAAATAGGTTTGGCTGTAACTCTGGCTGTATTATACGCTGCATTCTCTAAGACATTTAGAGAATGAGTTAGGTGGCGCAGTGAGTTAGGTGGCGCAGTGGTTAAATGCAGCACTGCAGGCTACTGCTAGATCAGCAGTTCAGCGGTTCAAATCTCACCGGCTCAGGGTTGACTCAGCCTTCCATCCTTCCGAGGTGGGTAAAATGAGGACCCAGATTGTTGGGGGCAATATGCTGACTCTCTGTAAACCGCTTAGAGAGGGCTGAAAGCCCTATGAAGCGGTATATAAGTCTACTGCTATTGCTATTGCTATTGCTATTGGTTCTTGTGAGATTTCTTCTCAGAATATATTCCTGGAAAATTCTCAAACTAAACTTTCATAAGCAGGATTGCAAGTGGGATTTTCTGAACCTACCAGAAAATACTGTTCATCTAGGAAGAGTCGTTCTTAGGGAGTGCTTAGGGTCATTCGTGGCGTACTACAGGAATGTCACTCTTCCCACACTGTCCTACTTTTGAGTTATAAAAGTAGAGGCAGTTTTTCAGCTATGACCATTCGTTCAGTGATGTTCAAAATTACAGTGGTGATGAACACAGGGGTCTTACAGTCGGTCCATGACGTTGCAGCACCCCTGCAGTCATACTATTGCGAGCCAAGTGCCCAAGTGTCCAGTTTGCCATTCCAGCATAGCAGCAAACTGCAGTCATATAACTGCCATTTGCAACCTCCTCTGCCAGCTTCCCACGCCACCCAGTCAATGATGAAACTGATAGAGAAGGTTGTAAGTTGCTCCTGCTGCTTTTTCTCACAAAGAGGTCCTGCCGCTATGAGGTACGAGATCCCAAGGTGATTCCACAGCCTATTTTTGCTCAGAAACACCTGCCAAGGGTCCCCACTGGTCTGCCCCAGGGCCCTCACTGGACTGCACATGTTTAGCCTGTGAGCCCCCCCATGGCAGGATAAACATGGGTGCCGCCTTGCTGCACCCATGCTCCATGAGCCTGCTGTAAAAGACAAGCCCAGTTTGTTTATTTGGACTTTCTGTTTTAAAAGTATTCATAATATAAGTCTCTCTGAGCTTTGGGAATTGAAAAAAAAAAGTATGTGCCAAATCCACCTTGTGAGCACTTCTTTGAGGCTATTATCAGAGGAATAATTACAATATCCTACTGTTTTGTCAGGAAAACATCACAGCTTATTCTGAACTGTATCATGACTACACCACGACCCAAGTCGGCTTGCATGATATAGTCCGCAGTTTTCGGCATACCATGAATAAGTTCAGCAGTGAACCTGGTAGATACAGGTAACCGTATTCATTTTTTATCTATCAGCCTGACTTTATTTGTCTTGTATTACTCAAAGCTGTAATGTTCCCAAGTGTCAAATCTCCCCTCAGCAAACTGAACAGGTAAGAAGCCACATAAAGATCCGAGAATTTCTGGTTCTTATAGAGAAACTAAGAAACAAAACAGAATACCAGCGACTGTTGCATATCAAATATGAGTTCTATTTATACTGTAATAGGTATTGAAATCCGTCTGCCACTCTCCTGTCTGGTTTGTGTTCCAGAGCAGAAACCTGCCCGTGTTGGAAGGGACAGTCTCCATCTGCTCTGTAGTTGGGCAATGGCCAGACCTGTGTCTGTCTGTTTGCTGTTGACTGTGGGAAAATCAGCTTTCATACCCATCAAATAGCTCGATAATGTTAGTAGCAAATTGCAATGCTAGGGGAAACATTATGAGAAGATGGTCTGGGTTTTTTTGGGTAATTTTGGCCTTTTAGGCATAGGAGTACATATCCCATAAACTCTTGACTATTACCATGCTCACTGGAGTTAATGGGAACCGGACTCCAAAAATATCTGAGTGTCAGAAGTTGTAGGAAGCAAATTCTATAGTCTCAGCAGCATTTGATATTTTAAACTTTGATTTCAGTAGAGCTTACATTGTAATATAAGTGGCAATACTTGTTGCCTACCCAGCAAATACACACACACACACACACACACACACACACACACTCAAACAAACACACAGATCAATTATCTCAAATCCTGCAATATACATCTGTTATACCTTCTTTGAAAGGAAAACACATGAATAAGTATTCAGCCAGCTAGTATTGCGTGTTGCACTTAATATTATTTATTTTTATAACGTGTTTTATTACAATTCAAAGTCTCATTCTACCTGACTTTTAATTTTTGCCAGGTCAATCATTGTTGCTGATATTCATTTTAGCTTCACTTCACAGTTAATAAGAACACATGTTTTAGCAGGATGATTGATTGATGCCGTGTTTTTACAGTACGAAAAACAACAAAAACAAAACAAATACCGTATGTTAAAATATTTCAGTTTTCTTCTCTAGTTCTGCCTCTTTAGGGAATTAACTACTTGTCCAAACTGTTTCCTTTTTGGAGTTAGTTAAGATAAATTCTTAAGAGGCCTCCTGTGCTTATTCAGAGGTTAGAACCAAAGGCAATTAAGCAAGTGATGGCAGCTGCTTTTGACCTGATGCTGGAGGAAAAGGGCTGGCAAGGACAGGTATGTGGCTCATCATCTGTGACAGACATTGGTGACATGCATTCTGCCAGGATCTGCCAGGATCTTGACCCAGCATCACAGAGGCTGGCAGCAGCTGCTGTCTTGTCTGCTTCCTCTGACTGTCTATGGAGATTCTCTATCATCCAGGTCATGATTGTCCCAAAGGTGCTTTTCAAAAGGCAACTGGGCTTTCTTGTTTTTTCTCCCCTTGAAAATGTTTCACTTCTCATCCCAGAAGCTTCTTCAGTTGTACTGAATGGTGGGGAATGGAAGGATTTATATTTTTTCAAGTCATCTGATTGTTAGCATCTGATGATCAGCTTTCAAAGTGCTAATGATCAGATGACTGCAAAGAATATAAATCTTTCCATTCCCCCCCCCCCATTCAGCCAGAACTGAAGGAGCTTCTTGGATGAGAAGCAAAATGTTTTCAAGGGAAAAAAAACCCAAGAAAGTCCAGTTGCCTTTTGAAAAAGCATCTTTGGACTTCCTGTGATTGTGGATGTGATGGCCATTCTCTGTCCTAAAAGTTGGTGCCTGATTGAAGTAAGTTCACTGAAGTTCTCTGAAATTATTTTCTCTTCAAAAGTCTTTAGATGTCACAAATGACAACTTTTGAGTAAAGAATCACAGTTTTTCAGTATAGAAAAAAATCTGATTTGGAAAAGCTATTATTTTCTCAGAAGGAGAGAGAGTATTTTAAGATTTGCTTGAAAGCCAAAGGATTCTGTTCTAGGAGAAGGGAGCAGTTGAACTTTACAACTCTCCCAACCTCAACTGCAAATCACAGAAAATCAGTTTATTTAGACTGGAAGATCTTTTAAAACAGTATGTAAGGCTTTTATCTCTACACACAGCAGGCATATCCTAAAAAAATAGTCAATGAGAAATTATTCTACCCACACCCAGATTATTGTTTTATATATGATTGGAAGTCTGTAACATTGAATAAACACTGTATAGATATTGAACAATAAGTCAATATGGATTTTGTTCACAAGTTTATTATCTAACAGATACTGTGTAAAAAGAAAAAAAATAAAGGAAAAGAAGAACAAACTTGTCTAATACAATAATACAATAGCAGAGTTGGAAGGGACCTTGGAGGTCTTCTAGTCCAACCCCCTGCCTAGGCAGGAAACCCTATACTGTTTCAGACAAATGGCTATCCAACATCTTCTTAAAAACTTCCAGTGTTGCGGCATTCACAACTTCTGGAGGCAAGCTGTTCCACTGATTAATTGTTCTAACTGTCAGGAAATTTCTCCTCAGTTCTAAGTTGCTTCTCTCCTTGATTAGTTTCCACCCATTGCTTCTTGTTCTACCCTCAGGTGCCTTGGAGAATAGTTTGACTTCCTCTTCTTTGTGGCAAGATATTGGAGCTATTGGAACATTGCTATCATGTCTCCCCCAGTCCTTCTTTCTATTAAACTAGACATACCCAGTTACTGCAACCGTTCTTCATATGTTATAGTCTCCAGTCCCCATATCATCTTTGTTGCTCTTCTCTGCACACTTTCTACAGTCTCCACATCCTTTCTACATTGTGGCGATCAAAACTGAATGCAGTATTCCAAGTGTGGCCTTACCAAGGCATTATAAAGTGGTATTAACACTTCACGTGATCTTTATTCTATCCCTCTGTTTATGTAGCCTAGAACTGTGTTGGTTTTTTTGGCAGCTGCTGCACACTGCTGGGTCATATTTAAATGGTTGTCCACTAGGACTCCAAGATCCCTCTCACAGTTACTATTATTGAGCAAGGTACCACCTCTGCTGTACCTGTGCATTTCGTTTTTCTTGCCTAAATGTAGCACCTTACTCTTTTCACCATTGAATTTCATGTTATTAGATAATGCCCAATGTTCAAGTTTGTCAAGATCCTTTTGTATCTTAAGCCTGTCTTGTGGAGTGTTGGCTATTCCTGCCAGCTTGGTGTCATCTGCAAATTTAATGAGTTCCCCCTTTATTCCCTCATCCAAATCATTGATGAAGATGTTGAAGAGTACTGGGCCTAAAACAAAGCCTTGGGGTACTCCACTGCATACTTCCCTCCATGTAGATTCCATTGAGGACTACACGTTGAGTATGGTTGGTCAGCCAGTTACGAATCCATCTGGTGGTGATGCTGTCTAACCCACATTTTCTACTTTATCTAGTAGTAGGTAATGGTCTGCTTTATCAAATGCCTTACTGATGTCCAAGTAAATTATATTGATGGCATTCCTCTGGTCCACTAATTTTGTCACTATCTTGAATGCAGTCTTGCCGTAGAATTGAAGCTTTCTGTTTATGGCATGCCGTTCCTGGAGTTTCTCAACTAACATTTATGATGGGATTTTCTCATGTACTGTATAATGTCCTTTTAATGTTCCCCATTCTATTTATATTATCTTACACTGTACACAGTGTTTCTGTCAGAGCAATAGTTCAGCCGTATCAGTACTAAGGGAATCTTTTGGGCATAGAGGGTGTAACTATTTAAGTACTTTATCATGCCAATCCTTTTCATAAGAACACAAATTCTCCTCCTTTGCAGATTTATGGCTACAGAAACCATTGAGAACAACATTGAAGAAACGATGTTGTATTATGGGACATCATTTATTCAAGAAGCTGATTTTCCTGTAAATTTTCACCTCAAGAACTTGGAATCAGTTTCAGGAAATGATATTTCTGAAAGTATAGCTTTGTGGATGAAGAATATGCCACAAGGAAAATGGCCAAATTGGATGGTAAGTTTTTGATTTTGAGGATTTTTGAAATTTTTAGTTTGCAGTATAATTGTTTATGTATTTTTAATGAAGCAACTGTTAATATTTATTCTTTCACAAAGGATGCATAATCGTTTGTGAAAAGAATAGTCCAAGATAAAGGGGACTTATGAAAAAAGTGCCAAAGCAAAACTAAAGTTTAAGGATTTATTTTAAATACTTGAAATGAATTGTTGCCATGGAGAGTTGTCCCATTCGGAGCCAAGAATACCTTTGTCAGAGCAAAACTTTAACCATTCTATCAGTATTCGGGGATTTTTTTTTCATAGATGATGTAACTATTTATATACTTCATCATGTAGATCATTGTTATATGAATGCAAACTTTCTTAGAAACCAGAAAATTCCAACATTAGCTGGAAATTAAGTTAAGAGAGAGTAGCATACCGTCTACTTCAATTTTATGGGTTGGTTCCTTGGGGAAATATTTTACAAAAAACATATGTTGTAAAGGCGTTATTGTCTGCTTTCTTAAAACTACAATGATGAAATTGTGTTGAAAGGCTTCTAAATGTGTGATTTTGTTGTCTGTTAATTACAATAGTAATAATAAAAAATTTAAAATCAGTGTAATGGTGGAGAAAGCGAAAAAAGGTGATATGGATCTACTAATGGTTGTACTTATGGTTTAGCACAGGGGTCCATTACCGGGCCATGGCCTATCCACAACCAGGCTGTGCAAGTAGAGCTGCACAAATAAACTGTGCATGCGCATATGTGATGAACCGCTGCTTGCATGGCCCAGTTCCCCTCCCCCCTCCGCTGGGCTGCCAAGCTGCAAAGATATGGGACCGCTGGCTTAGTATGCCCTAGCCAATTTTAGCCCATCAAATGATAATACATTTTAAAACTGCCGGATAAATAGTTTGTATGATTTGAATTTCCATAAATAATACAAGCTTTGTATACTAGGAATGAAATAATGGCTTATTTAATTTTAGGTTGGAGATTCCAACACTGCTAGAATATCCTCTCGGATTGGAAAAGAATATATAAATGTCGTAAACATGCTTCTTTTAACCCTTCCTGGAACACCTGTAAGTTATTATGGTGAAGAAATAGGAATGGAAGATGCAACTTCAGAAACTGTGAGTTAAAAATGCAACCCTTTAGTCTTTTGAGAGGCTTGTTATAGAGGAGGTAAAATCTAGTAATGAAAAAGGCCTTTTCTCAGTCTTCTGCCCTTCAGATGTTCAGGACTTTATTCCTCAGGATCAACAGCTAACATGCCTGGCTATTATAGGATTTGTCTTAAACACTGAGGCTGCTGTCCATCTGCCATAATTACTCCCCTTGTCACCACTGAAATGCCCACATTTTCCTCCATTCACCAATCCCACCCCCACTCTTCCACTTCAAGCTGAAGCAGTTTATGTAATCTGACATAGCAAATGGATAAAAAAGCTGCCAACCAGGTTATATTTCTTTTTTAAACCATTCATCACCTAGGCCTGAGCAGAGCCTCCATCCCACATCAGCCATACTACCAAACCCCACTTCATTCTATTCCAGTCCCCTTCCCATTCCTCCCTCATCCTGGTCTCATCTGAACTGCAAGGAGAATCACACATCTGGCAGACAGACCCCTTCCCCATGTCAGCTCCCAAGGTTGGTACGCAAGACTAGCCTTGTTCAATCTTGTCAATCAGCTTGCAAAAATCCTTGCAGTACAGAACTTCTCACTCTGGTTGCCAGCAACCACAATGGAATCCACAAACATCAATCCTGGGAACCCAGCTCTGGATCCCATGGAGAAGAGAAAGGAAAGCTGCCAAGATGCTGCTGTTCTCCTACAAAATGTTCTCCTAGAAAACTACCAACTTGTTCATCTCCTATTGCTGCCATTCACCTGGAATTCTCAGTCCTAAATTTCTCTCAAGGACTCTTGTTCCCAAGATGCTGAAATCAATCCAACTTTGTTGTGCCAAAGTGCTTCCACAAAATGGAACCACTGCTCTCCATTGTCCTCACTGAACCATTATGATTCCAGGAACTGGTCAGATGCCACTCATTAGATGAGCCAGAAACAGCTCCTGTAGATACAGTATTTGTATAGATTAATACCAATCTCAGCCTTGGAATGGATTGGTGGTGACGAATGTGAAACTTTGGTTTCTTAAAGTTAATTTCAAAATCTTGATATATTTTTCCATAAAATTTTAAGCATCCCATAAGAAATATTCTTTGAAATCCATCTAGCCTTTTAATTTAGTGTTTAACTTTCCAAAATTCTAGTCTACCATTTGCTATTTTCTAAAAATTGTTTTTCTTTTTAATCCTTAAATTTTCATAAAACTTCTTTCAGTAAGAGTAGAAAAAAACTTTCCCAGCAGCATTATGAAACTTGTCTTTCAGAAGACCCTACACACCCAAAAATCAATAACAAGAAACTCCCGAAAGTAGTTAAGAGAAGAAGTAGATGTACCCATTTGAAGATGCTGAACTTTGGTTTAGGATGGATAGTTTTTGCCTGATGATCATCCATTATTTTATTATCTCTTCATGGATGGATTCAGAGAGCAGATTTGTGGGTGATCCTAGGCCTTTCCCTGATCCAAAGAAAAGTTACAAGAAGCCAACCCATTCACCAGCTCCCCTTATTGTCAAGGTTATCATCTCATTTCTGTCATTACTTCCCCATAAGCAGTGAATCATGGATGAATCCTGCCTTATTAGAGATTTAACATTTATATCAACAACTAAGGACACGGTCACCAATAATTTGGCTGGCACAACCTGGGGAAACTGACACAACTGGCACTGGTAACTCAATTTCCACTGCCATATTTCTTTCAACCTGTCACTAACAGGATGTTGCTTCCACCAAGAAATGGTATTTTTCGGATATAAGACGCACCGGTGTATAAGATGCACCACAATTTCGAAGAGATAAGAAAAAAAAAGTTTTTGTGCTCCCTGGCCCCCAGGAGCACTCTGCAGGCTTCAACAGGGCTGGAGGAAGGCAAAAATGCCCCCGTTTTTGTGAAAAGCCTGTTTTTCACAAAAATGGGGCATTTTTGCCTTCCCCCAGCCCTGCTGAAGCCTGCAGAGTGCTACTGGGAGCTGGGGGAAGGCAAAACTATCTCCTTTTGCGAAAAATAGCCCATTTTTCATAAAAATGGGATGCGGGGTGGGGCTTTGGGAGGCCAAAAATGGCTGTATTTGGTGTATAAGATGCACCAACATTGCTATGCTCTTTTAGGGGGGGGGGAGATGCATTTTATACTCCAAAAATAGGGTACATCTCCCTTCCCAAAATGTACCACACCTACAAATGATAATTATCATAGTTTATATAGATGTGCCACTCAACAGGGACTCTCCTTCTTAATTTCTTTGACACTTTCTCACACCTTCAGTTTTCTAACTACTGTGCTAAAGACAACTAAGAGGCATCTGAACCTTGACACATTAGTGTCCCCTACTAGCAAATCTGAACCCAAATTGTCCTGGTTGGGACTTCTACCTGCCTCACTTTTAGGAAACCCTCCCAGAGCAATTGCAATGGCTAGTTGCTCCTTGATGGGAATTGCCTCTACTTGAGGCACAATGTCAACTCTCTGTGTTGACATTCCATGCAGAGCGTCGGCGGAGTCGGATCTCAGATTACAGTAGGGGTTGAGATGAAT